AAAAAAAAAAAAAAAAAAAAGTAAGTAAGTATGGCAAAATCTTGATAACTGTTGTCTGGGGGATGAGAATATAGCAGTTTTCATTATACTACTTTCTTTGCCTTATTGTCTTGAAACTTTTCACACTAAAACACTCAACTGCATCATACACAAAATCTTAACAAGAAAATTTTTAAAGTGTACTGATAATTTCAGTTATGTGTGCAGATTCTATTACCTCTCTCCATGTATCTGAACTGTTATGAATATGTTACTGATTGTTTCTTTGTGCTGCTGAGGGGAAGGGTAGACAATAAAAAACAAGCCATCAGTAACCTAGGGCTACAATACCAATGTGTGTCCATGTGCAGATAAAAGGCTGGCCAGCTGTGTAAAACTGAATCTTGATTATATCAAGGTTTAAACAGTTATCACTTCTTTTACATTTTTGCACTTACTGCCAGGTTTTCATATTCAAAATAGGTGGTATAATTAAAATACATATTTGGTCTCCATGCTCTGTTCCTAGCATAGAGTTCCCAAAACCCCAGGAACCTTCTGAGTGAACAAAGTATCTTTTGTGTACTACTCAATGACTGGGTCTGGGGACCTCTAAATAGCAGGATGGGGCTAGTCACCAGAAAGACCAAGCCATTATGAGAGGGTTGAAACTTTCAGTGATGCCTCTATCCCACCCAGGGAGGGGAGAAGGTTGGACACCAGCCTTGACTTAATGGCCAGTGATTTAATCAACCATGCCCACATGATGAAACTTCTTTAAAAATCCCTAAGCAACAGGGTCAAGGAGGTTTCAGGTTACTAGTTTATGTGCCTACAGGGGGCATGGGAGCTCTGCAGCCCCGCCCCATTCCTTGCCCTAAGCATCTCTTCCATCTGGCTGTTTCTGAGTTGTATCCTTGATAATAATCCAGTAAATGTAAGTAAAGTATTTCCCTAAATTCAGAGTCATTCTAGTAAATTACCCAATCTGAGGAGGGGATTATAGGAGCCTCCCAATTTATAGCCAGTTAGTCAGAAGTACTGGGACTTGTGACTAGTGTCTAAAGTGGGGCAGTCTTATGGGACTAATCCCTTAACTCGTGGGATCTGCACTAAATACAGATAGTGTAAGAATTGAATTATTAGACACCCAGATGGCTTTAGAGAAGCTAAGAACATGCAAAATAGGGAATTTGCCTTGAAACAGTGACTCTTTAATAGACACAGTCACCAGAGCACCTGAGAGTTTTTAAATTATACTTTTAAACATTTCAGTGTTATATTTTCTACCAAGAAAATACGAACTCATAAAGAACTTTTACTGTTTTTCTTTGATTCGGAGTCTCATGGTCTGGCGTAATGGCTGACGCCCATAATCCCAGCACTTTGGGAGGCCAGGGTGAGAGGATTGCCTGAGGCCAAGGGTTCAAGACCAACCTGGGTAACTTGGCCAGATCCCATCTCTACAATAAATCAGAAAATTAACCGGACGTAGTGGCACACACCTGTAGCACCCAGCTACTCGGAGGCTGATGCAGAAGATCGCCTGAGCCCGGCAGGTCGAGGCTGTGATGGCCGTGAGCATGCCACTGCACTCCAGCCTGGTCACCTGGGCTCAGGCGATCCTACTGCCTCAGCCTTCCAAGTAGCTGGGACTACAGGCGTGCACCACCATGCCTGGCTAATTTTCTGATTTATTGTAGAGATGAGGACTTGCCAAGTTGTCCAGGGTGGTCTCGAACCAGTGGGCTCAGGCAATTCTCTCACCTCGGCCTTCCAAAGTGCTGGGATTATAGGCATGAGCCACTGTGCCTGGCCCTACTAACTTTTACATTTATAAAAACAATAAATTAGATCAATGCTTAAATATTTTAATAATTTTGAAATACAGATTTTCCTCTGATTCTTTTTCAGACGTCTAGACCAGTTTAATTAAAGAATACTCTCAGGTACTAAGCTAAATTACTTAAAAACATAATGTGTAACTACTCACTTGCATAAGTCAAGATTCTTCTGGTAACATGTAACCCAAACACTATTGAAAGAAATCAGATTTTTTTTGGAGATGGATCTCACTATGTTGTCTAGGCTTGTCTTAAATTCTTCGGCACAAGCAATCCTTCCACCTCAGCCTGCTGAGCAGCTGGGATTACAGGTGTGTGCCACTATGCCTGGGTTAGATTTTAATTAGACTCTGATTTCATTATTTTGTATGCTTTAATCTCATAAATCCCATTGCTTTTAAAGTTAATGTTTTGAGTCATCACAGCTATAATATATATATCACCTTAATCTGTTATGCATTAGAATCTGTACTATATATATATTTTTTTTTTTCTTTTTTTTTTTTTTTTTTTTTAGGAAAAGGTTCCACTGCCTAAAGATTTTGGAAACTACAGTTAAAGGGGAAAGTGTCTCTAAAACTGGTGATATGGAAGTAACTGGGAATGAATTGGCCTTCTAGGAACTTATATATGTGACCTTTGAAAGAGAACTTCAGCCAGGCACAGTGGCTCATGCCTGTAATCCCAGCATTTTGGGAGGCTGAGGTGAGAAGACTGCCTGAGCCCAGGAGTTCGATACCAGCCTGGGCAACTTGGCAACCTCATCTCTACAATAAATCAAAAAATTAGCTGGGTGTGGTGGTGCATGCCTGTAGTTCCAGCTATTTGGAAGGCTGAGGCGGAAGGATTGCCTGAGCCCAGCAGATTGAGACTGCAGTGGCTGAGTGTGCCACTGCACTCCAGCCTGGGCCGTGGAGTGAGACTCCAACTCAAAAAAGAGAACTTCAAGCATCTCTCAACTGTACTACAGATGATCCCACTGCAGGCAACAGATCTTGAAAAACCCTATCCGAGAGGCTATGTTTTAATATCTCTACGCTGACATCCAGCAAGAGCAGGTGGTATGGCATAGTGGGAGAGTCACCTTTTCCGTATGCTGACAAGCAAGAAATGGTCTTCAGTCAGTCACTGTATTCCCATCTAGATAACTATTTTACTTTAACAGAGATAATGTAAAGGGAGATATCCAATAAAGGTATTTGTTGCTCATCCTCTCAGTCCCCTACTCAATAAGTTTTTTTTGAATCATTTTTGCTATAAATCAAAAAGATGTACTGAAAGAACTTATTACCTACATAAATCATAATGGATTTGGTAAAGTAAATATTCCCTTCTAAAATGTTAGTAATAAATGTGTACTTTCATTTGTAGAATTTAAAGTGGTATTTACCCACAAATAAATTAATTAACATATTAAATGTTATGACAATAATTACCTCTTTTCATTTGCTGTGGAAGCACTTTCC